ATAAAGTCTGGAAATGAAATACATAATAGTAATACAACATATACTAAAATGTACATTTCCTGAAGAAAATGTTTTAATATCTGTCTGTAAACAGAAGGACGTAGTCCACATGGAAAATTTATGATTATAACAAATATTTGACAAAAATGTTAATTGCTGCAGTCTACTAAAAGCTGTATTAATTTGATTGAGTCAGTTGAGTGAATGATTCAATGACTCACGCATAAAGTCTGGACATGAAATACATAATAGTAATACAAAATATTAGTGTTTTAAACTGAAATGTAGGACTCTCGAGGCAAACATGTTTCAGGTCATGTTTTACCCCCAAAATATAATTAAATAATCAAATATTTTTGCATTATTTTCATGATTGTTAAGCACATTTCTCTAGAATTCTCATTACCTTATGCAAAACACACTATGATTATTTAAATGATAAAAAGGACTTTAATTTATGCTTATGTTTAAATTAATTAATCAATCATATTCCTAAATTAATTATTAAATACTTTTTTATTTAGTATCTTAAATTAGTACAATTATATTACAAATTATAATAAATGCAATTATTTTAAAATAGTGTCTTAAAATATTTTATGTTTTCTAAAACACATCTCTATAAATATATATATATATATATATATATGTGTATAATCTTCCTAAAATATTTATTTTATTTATCTTACTGTAGTACAATAAGCAATACATTACAGAATTTGTATTAATCTTTGTTAATAATAACTGTTCATTGTTAGTTCGGGTCCATTAAATAATATAAACAGATACAACTTTTGATTTATTAATAACATATTAGTGAATGTTGATATTAACATTAATTAAGATTAATAAATGCTTAAGAATTGTATTGTTAACTAATGCAGTTAAATAATGTTATCAAATGTAATTGTAAAACTGTTACTTTATTGTAAAATGCAATAATGAAAATCCATGATGAATCACCATTAAGAATGCATTATGGTTATGCAAATTTCATGATGTATAGAGTAACCAAATTATGTATACAGTGATTTTGATCATATATGTTAGTTCTTGTTAACAAATGGAGCCTTATTGTAAAATTCAAAAATGAAAATCCATGAAGAATCACCATTAAGAATGCATTATGCAAATTTCACGATATTTATACAGTGATTCTGATCACACATAAATAATTTAAGATTAAATGAACGTTAAAAATGTAACGCTAAACCTTAAAATAAACCGCTCCTTCAAAACTACCCTCATTATATCGATTCAGGAAAGTTATTTGAAGGTAAAACTGACTTTGAAAGAAATCGGTGGCGCTGCCCTTCAATCTAAACATGATGCACAAACACATCGACGGCGCGTATCGACGGCTTCACGTGTTGCTAGCTGCTAGTTCACCTGCAGAGCACGAGACTGAAATCTCTCACCTGCGGACAAGCTGAACGATCAGCACACACACACACACACACAGCGAGAGCTCAATAGCCGTCACCCCGCGGGGCGACCGCACGGCCCCTGGGAACGAGCGCCGCCGAGGCCCCTGGGTCACTGTCCTGAACCGCCATCACACCCCTGGGCGAGTTAAAGCCCGCGATACGCGGAGGAGAACACAGGTGAACAACAGAAACAGCGCGGCTGAAACACCCTGACGGTGCTTTAAGCTTTTTATTTCGCCAAAACATCTTATCTTTTTCTCTGTACTTATGTACAGGTGAAACTGGAAAAATTAGAATATGGTGCAAAAGTTCATTTATTTCAGTAATTCAACTTAAAAGGTGAAACTAATATATTATATAGACTCATTACATGCAAAGTGAGATATTTCAAGCCTTTATTTGTTATAATTGTGATGATTATGGCTTACAGCTTATGAAAACCCCAAAGTCAAAGTGTTTTCATAAGCTGTAAGCCATAATCATCACAATGACAGCTAGTTGATCTCTTCAGCGATGCATCGTACTGTGATAGTGAAGCAGCGAGTTACAGCGCTGTACGGGAAACACACTCCTGGTCAACGTGTGATCGTCAACCAGTGGATCTCTGAGCTGAGGGAGTGAGTGGAGGCGGGGCTCATTTGCATATTCATAGAACCGCGCATACTAAATGAGGCAAGAGTGTCGAGTTACATTCAAGATATTTTAAGGCAGAGAAGGAAAAAAGGTTTAAATATGTAATTTTAGTGATAAAATGATTGACTACAGGGGGACTTTAATAGCTTTAGTTATGGATAATGACCTGTTATGAAAAAGTGATTAGAGAGTCCTTTGATCACACTTTTAGTGCGATCTGATCTTTGTTAACAGTGATTATTATGAGTGTGTGTGTGTATATGTGTGTGTGTCTATGTATGTATGTGTGTGTTTCTGTGTGTGTGCGCATGTATGTATGCGTGTGTGTGCGTGTGTGTATATGTTTCTGTGTGTGTATTAGGGGTTTAACGGTTCACAAAATTCACGGTTCGGTACGTTTCCGATACAGCAAAAAGAAAGAAATGCCAGAGAAATGTCCTTGATTTAATTTTTTAATTATATTTTTATTAAAACTAACATCAAAGTATGATATTTTTTACTTTGAGCAATGATGGAGCTATACTTGACTTTTCTTAGGAGCTTATAAAACAAAACAGCTCCTTGGACAAAATGAAATGTAATATTGTAGTAGTTATAAACAAAGGTTTATTTTAGTTCAGATTAACATTTGAGGGCAGCAACTGTATTCATAATGTCAAAATAAAACCGACGTGATGTTACTTGAAAGCATTATAGCCGACTATTCCTGCCACACTTCCATGGTTACAGTTAGTAGTGTTACTACAGTAAACCCATGGTGAATGTTGCTGATCTGTGGACACTAGTTAGTTCATTCATGGCACAGTGTTTCTTCGTGGTTTCCACGTCAGCGCTGTTTGATCCGGTAATAACGGAGAAATGTGAATGTGTCTCACTAGATCTCGCAGCGATGTTATTACTTCAGTGGCGAACTCAAATGCTTTCTTTACTGGATTTCGCTGTGTAGTGACAGTGCTGATGATGAAGATCGGCTCGCGCTGCATTGGTCCAAACTGATAAACGGTCCGTCAACCACACAATAACGAGCAGCTCAGTTTCGTTACGCTTACATACATTTGCCATTTGATGTTGGGCAATGTTGTGGTCACGCCAGCGTCTCTTACATTATGAGCGCGCTTGCCACGCGAGACGCGCCAACATTTGAAATAACGAAATGTTGGTCGGCAGGAAAAATGGTCCAACGAACGGTTCAATACGAATACGTGTATCGTTACACCCCTAGTGTGCATGTGTGTATATATGTGTGTCTGTGTGTGTTTGTGTGCATGTGTGTGTGTGTGTGTGCTTGTGTGTGTGTGTGTGTGCATGTGTGTATATATGTGTGTGTGTGTGATTTCACCTGACTGGGGCTTTCTTCATATGCTCTCCGATGAACGTGGCGTTGGTCATGCCCATCAGTGTGTTAGCGAGCGAGATGACGGACAGCAGGTGCTGCGTGGTCACGGCTCTCGACACGCCGTACGTCCCCTTTCCCACGACCTCGGACGCGGAGAGCGCCTCCACCGAGTCCTGCGCCAGCCGGCGGAGCAGCGAGTCCTTGAAGGTGGGCAGCATCAGAGACATGTGCCCGCCGCGCGAGATCAGGCCGAAGGAGATGGGTGTGTGTGGGCGCAGCATCCCGAGCCGGCTCACACACACCTCGTCCAGGGCCCCCGTTCAGGCCCCAGGCGTGCAGGCAGGACATGAAGAGCTTGGCCGTGTCCATGGTCAGGTTGTACTCCAGGAGACTCAGAGACTTGGACTTCTCCTCGCGCCGGCGCTGCTCCTCCTCTTCGTCCTCGTCTTCGTCCAGCAGGTGCTCCTTGATGTTTTCTTTAATGGTCTCCTTCACCTGTGCAGGGGGAGTGATGGAGCGGACACGTCATGTGATGACTAATAAACCAACAACAGACGATTTTTTATGCTTTTATTTCTCCGTTTTGTTTTGGGGGGGGGGGGGGGGGGGGGGGGGACATCTAGAAAGCAAAATGAAGCCTAAAGCTTTTGACCACCAGTGTTATTTTAGTTTTATTCATATATTTTGAGTTTTCATGTTAATTTTCATTTAATTTTTAGTCATTTCATTATGTGCCTTTATATATATATATTATTATGTGCCTTTATATTAGGGCTGACTTCTAATATTCGAGGATTCGACGATTCGATTCGGAGAGGTCTGATTCGACTATGAACCTCATAGTCGAATTGTAGGGAAGTGTTTTGTAACCAATAGGGGTGTGACTGTTATTATATAACCGTGAGGACCGACGGTTATAGTTGAACACGTCATTAGAACTCTCTAACCGCCAAAACCGTGCTATTAAAATATTTTTTACAAACATTTTTTATCATAGAGTATGTTTAAATACT